AAGTCGACCAACTGCGCGGCCTACTTTAAGTTTTCGCAACAGTCGTTTGCGTCCATCAAGCCGCCGTGCGCCATGACGGCGACGACGACGACCGCCGACTGGGCCGCGTTTACGATTCAGCAGTACACGGACGCTCTCAAGGCGACACTTGCAGCGTCCAACTCGACGACGGTCGCACCTGGCAGCAACAAGACGACGTCGGTGCCGGGTGCGGTGACGACCAAGCCCACGTCCGTGTCGTCGTCGACCGGCAGCTCGGCGGGGACGACGACCAAGGCGCCGACGCCCAAGCCCACGTCCAGTGCCGCCAGCATGACGACGGGCCTCGTGGCGCTTGCCGCGGTCGCTGTCGCGGCCATGTAAGCCTCTATGTACTCGAAAATACGTCTTTTTGAATGAACGGCTGTCGTTGGTTTGAAACCGTCACGTTGAAAAGTGCAATGTACGTGGCACGCGGACGTGCGAGTACGACCTTTGAGACACGATAAGGTTACCCTACCTGCTAAGAAGGAAGTCTTTGGTGTCATGGAGCCGATGGGTGGAGTTCTCGGTCATGTAGTGCAGGTACGCTGAAGCGGAGCAGTTCTTGAACACATCTACAGCTCACTGGCGCCATGCGAGCCTACGACTTCGTTGAGTAGTGTTCTCCACGAGTCTCTACTCATTGCCCCTCACCGAGTCGCGGTGGTTGTCGATGGGTTGTTGGAAAGTGATGGAGCAGAGGGACAATCTTTTTCCCGGCTTGGCTCCACCATGGCATCAAAGTATTACTACCAACTGCAACTTGCAACTAGATACGACATGCTAACGAGAGAGGGAGTAGAGACTGGCCAGAAACAATGTGCAAAATTTTGCACATTTCTCTGTGGATATTTGATATCCACAAATATCAAATTTGATATCCATGAGAATGCAGGTGGGTTCTCCGAGTTGCCACAAAGAGCTCCACAAAGCTGGCTGGACAGAGAATGCTGAGATACCATCCACTTCCGACTCTAGCATAGCCTATGCTACAATCTGTACTAAGCTTAGTATACGGTCGTGTACCTATGCTGCATAGGTACCGGTACGCTGCCGTATACGGGAGGCGGCAAGACGGTGATCAGAGGTACATACAGTGTATTAAAGACAGTCG